CTGCTAATTTGTGTGTGGTTTCTAAGCCACTTCTAATGACGGTGGGAAATACAAGGCTTATTTACATTTTTACCAATATCCTCTGTTAGTCTCCTGAAAGAGTGAGTAATCATCAAGCCACCATGAATTTATAAGTGTGTCGGATAAAGGAAATAAAGGAAAAGAGAGACAAGCAACTTCGGTTGGTGAGGTTTATATTAAATTTAGAAATATTGATTCTCTGGATGTGGCTAGAGAAATAAGTGATTAACTGGCTTTGTTTTCCAATGAGTATATTTTTAAAAATTCTAACATAATTTCAATAAACACAGTCACTTATGCTATTACAATAAATCTTTTCTCTTAAGATAACATTTGCGTGTGTTGTATTTTCTCACACGGCGTTGCCATCTGAAGTGCAGCTAATTTGCACATAATGAAAGTGTGGCTCATAGACAACAACTCCTCTCCCCCGTGGGAGACATGGCTAATCAATCAGGATTCTTTGCCCAGACAGACTGCGGAGTTTTGGACTTCAGGAACCCGTTACTCATCAGTTGGCAACAGCATTCATGAGGAAGGCTGTTTCCCTTCCTTGCTGTTACAGTATAGCAGGCCCTTTTTTAAACAGCTATATGTCTTCTGTTGCCTCGAAGGACTGTGACATGTCAAGATCATGGGTTCGTGTGAGCCTGTTTTCTAGTCTCTGCAGTATCTGTAACGCACTGCTTAAGAAATTGTGTGAATCTGTTTGTCATACGAAAACACCAGTTCCCAGTTGATCTCCTTCTTGCTCTCCTCACATGCCTCTAAAACGTTTTGCAAATGTGGGGATTTGAAAAACGTTTTTTTTTTTTATTTTTTATTAAAACTGCGCACACCTGTATGCCTTTTGAATTCCACAGAGGAGGAGGACGGTGGAATGGAAGACTGACACCTGGCTCATCATTAGGGTTTTCTGCCTGTTCTTTCTGCTCGGCTGGAGGCTGTGTGATTAATAGCCCCTCTTCTCAATTATAGGGGTATTATGCTTCTCTTCCGTTGGCTGTAGACGGGAGATATCTATGTGTGCAATGCAAATTTGGGTTTTGTGAATGCTACTTCCAAAATCAGCCAGGAGTTGATTGGCAGAAAACCTAACAACGGGGTAACAAGCATTTGGGGGTTCAGGAATCTGTGAAAGAAAGACTGAGCCATGGCAGAGTTAAAAAAAAATGGAAGAGATTTGGAATTAATCAAGAGCAATAACTGGGAGAGCAGCCACTTGTGGAAGCAGATTTGAGGCAGGCATCCTAGAGGCCAGCTTCAAAGACAGATGCAAATGGCAGTAAGAGTTTAGCTGACTTTGCTGAATACAGGATGAGCTTGAGAAGCAAGCTGATGCCCAAACTGCATAAAATATATTCTTATCACATCCTCCAATGTTTTCTACCTGCACTGGGTTTGTAACATCAAGAATCTGTTTCTGTATTTGTTGTGCCATACTCAAGTACAGAAATCCTCAGTTTTATAAGCCAGCAGGGCCAAACATCAAGAACTGTTTACTGTGTGGAATAGAACTGCATATTTGATTGTCTGAAGGATAATGTGGGTGACTCAGAGGGGAGGAACAGAGATATTCAAGACAGCATTTTTATCCTTTAACGATTGCAGCAAAAGTGATCATAATGACCAGAGGAAAATGTGTTCCTAAGGCAGAGAAAATTGTTCAAGATATGCCCTGAGGGGATGAGCCCACACTTTTATAGCCCATGGTGGCTAAACAACACCAAGCCCAAAGGTGGAAAGTATATAAAACTTCATTATGTACCTTCTAACTATTCTGAGGTACGCCACAGTCAGCACTGAAAAATAAGAACTGCTAGCCTCCAAGGAGGAACGGGAAAAAGCGGAAGCTGAGGATGCTACTTCTCCATTCTGGAAACAGTGTAGACAGGCAAAATGAGAAGCCAATCATAGCAACTCCACAAGGCATTCCATTTTCTCTGCATAGTGTATACCTTTCCTTTAAAGGTTGGTTTTGCTGTTTAATGTGTTTTTCTTTGGGTAATATGTCACCCTGAACAGGCATCCATATCCTAATTTATTTCTATAGAAATGGCTTGTATGCAAAATTTTACACTGGATTTGATAAGACAGCGTCGGTAGTTCCACACATAACAAAAATTCAAATAGCTTTTTAAAAATTATTTATAAGTATCCATTCACACAAATTATATCTTCATATCATCTTGGTCATAGGTGGAATTTGGCAAGTTGTAGGTTCAGTACAAAGGATGGGATGGTTTGTTAGGAGATGTATTTTGTTTAAATCCTCTCGCTGATGTATCTGTGTGAAGCATTCTATCTGTCTAATTAATTCTGGAGTATTGTGCTTTTCTCATGAGAAGCTAGTTTACTAGCCTTTGACGAATGAAATGACTATAAAAGTCATTATTGCTGGCTTACCTTTATTTCCTAATAAACAACATAAACAGTTTCAAAGTTTACAACTGTCATAAAAGACTTTCTTCATTGAAGAAATGTCTCGGGTTGGACAAATGAAATGGAAAACAGTCCATGTTGTTACCCAGAACATCAGCTGCTTAACTTTGCTGAATTTCCACCTGTGCTGACCTGGTTTGTCTCTGTTGACTAGATCCCTGAAAGCCGGGGTGCCTGAAAATCAACCCCCCCATCAGTGGACTGGGGAAGGGGCAGGGAGGAGAGGGGGCAGGGAGGATGGGATTGGGAGGGGAGGAGGGAGGTGCTACAGCTGGGATACAAAGTGAATAAATAGTAATAAATAAATTTTTTTTTAAAAGTCCTCCACGAGTCTTAGACAAACCTGATTGAATATATGATGGATATACGCTGGCTGCCAGAGTGACTACCCTATAACCTGTAATTCTGTAACCTATAACCTATAACCTATAACCTGTAACCTACTGGCATCTCAGTGCACAGGCCTGGGTGTCATTATAGTTGCCGTTTCCATAATTAGAACCACAAAGCCACCCAAGAAGGGAGAAGTGGCGGCGAATGAATTCTTGGGAAAGTCTCTGCCTGTCAGAGAAGGCATGGATATTTTCTCCTATATTTAGCCTGTCTCCTACCTTCATATTCTTTATTCTGTAACTATGATCTCCCCAAACTTCAGTGATTCCAAAGCAGACTTGTAAGCCCATCTCCTGTTTCTTCTAAGGCATTTCAGAGTAGGAACCTTCCTTCATTGTCAGTGCGGTGCCTTAATGGCTGGTTTTACAACTCCGAGAGAGCAAAGAGATCCTCTTGTCACGGTGAAAAAAAAATGGTAATACTTTAAGGAAGAATACACTTAGAATTTTCTGGGAATCAGGCTTCTCTACAAAGATTTATAGTTCTTCCTTTGGGACTGGGTGACAATGAACTGTATCAATGAGCCCTTCCTCTGAGCAGGGCATGCCGATGTGATTCTCCACATGTCTTTTGATCTCAGGCATGACAATTCATGACCTCTGGGCTGGAGGGGGCACCATTAGCTTTTTTTCTTAGGTGACAAGTAGAGCCTTCAACAGAAACATTAGTTGTCACACACAGGAAGTATTTTATTTATTTTTTATTTTTGAGATGTGGTCTAGAGATACAGCTCAGAGTTGCCTTGGACTCCTGTGTCAGCCTCCCAAGTACACAGACTACAGCCATATTCTACACTCCTTGGCTAAGAATAAGTTTCTAATATCACAATATTGTTTTGTTTTGTTTATTTATTTATTTCATTGCTTTTGAGACAGTGTTTCTCTGTACAGACCTGGCTGTCCTGGTACTTGCTCTATAGACCAGGCTGGCCTCGAACTCACAGAACTCTATCTCTGCATCCTGAATGCTGGGGTGCTGGGCATCACCGTGCCCAGCTACAATATCTTATTTCCTGATACAAACCTTTTTTTTTTTCTTTTTAAAGCTAGAGATGTTGATACCATTTTACACATAACTTACTGTTTCTTATTATTCAATTGTAAGTTAATATTACTCTCAACATGCATCCTGAGTGCTGGGATTAAGGGCATGTATCATCATGCCCAGCTATAATATTTTATATCGATACAAACCTTTTTTTTTAAATCTAGAGACGTTAATACCATTTTACACATGATTTATTGGTTCTTATTATTCAATTGTAAATTAATATTACTTTCAACATAATTAGCTGAAGAGTTGGAAATCAAGTTATACTTATTGCTAACAAATTTAAGGCTATGTCTATCCATTACAGGTCAATATGGAATCTAAGGAAAATGTATATGGTTCTAGGATCTCACATAAACACATGAATTCTTTCATAATAAAGTTGCCAACTTTATAAATCTTACAGAATTATATAGTTAGGTTTCCTAAGTTTCTTCAAGAAGGGTTGTTTTTATTTGTATCTTTGTCCTAATAATGTAAATAATTTATTTGTAGAATATAAGCATATGTGATAATAATGTGACATTTATGACTTCACTTTGTCCCAATAAAGGAAAGGCTCTTTCTTGTCACAATATAAAATGTGGGGGCATTAAAGTCTAGAGGGAGATGCTGTAGAAAGTATGAATTGTTCTGAAAAAGGAGGGAGACTCAAAAGTGACAGACCGGTGAAATCAAGGAAGAATGAGGAAAATGTCATGTAAACAGAAGAAAAAAAGTGTGCTAACAGTTCAGTGAAAAAAAAAATCGAAAGAAGAACTATATATTAAAATCTTTCTTCCTAGGTAGAAGTACGTGAGTTGTGAAAACCTTTTCATTGGCCTCTTTAGAATCTTCAGAAAAGTCTACCACAAATAAAAATAATCAAATATTCATGGGCTGGATGATATCAAAGGCTCTTTGTCAATTTCTGATGATAAGCAACACGCACAGGTTTTGGGGGACTTGGTTTAACCCACCAAATTCCTATCATAAATGGCGTTAATCAGGAAACTTTAGAAAACCCCCACGTGTTCGACATAGAGTCCATGTACATACTGAACTTGCATGGTTCCGTGAACACTAGAAGGAAATGGTTAGCTGTCAACACTTACTGCGAGGACAATCTGGAGGGAACTGTGGGCCACTTCTATGTACTGGTACTCCAGGAAACACCCTGAGACAGTGATGTACCGATGATCTTCTGGAGCCCAGTCTGGGGCGGGTGTCACAGACGTCACCATACATCCTGGTCCGTTCTCCATCCACCAAGATCGGTGCATTGAAATATTAAACGTCAGGATAAGGTCTGTTTCCTGAAAGAAGACAATTTGTAAGGATGAGAAATGCTATACACATTAGTTTATTTGGGCTTATTTTGGTTTCCTGTTTGAAAATGTAGGTCCTTTCCCGTGTCCTTTGTATGTTATAGGCACTGAAAGCTGCAGGTAATCATATGAACATACATACTTTTGAGGCTTTGACTGACCTTAGTACTATCAGTTAAATTATTATTTTTAGAGAAATTACAAATGATTTACAATTAACTATAGTGTTGCAGAGTCCTTTTGGGTACTCAAATCAATGAGACCAATGGTTCAAACCACATCATTGGGTGAAACTAGTGCTATTATAAATCTGATTCACTCATTTTTCTCTTCATTTTTTTTCGCACATTTGGTTCTCCAAACTGAATTTCAATTTGACTACATTTACCTTAATGTTGAGGCTCATCATAGGGTTTTAAAAGAACTTTTCATAGGCTAATACATTATTACTCGGTTTTTCCTTTTCTACTAAAAGCAGGTCCTGTCTGTACACACAGAATTGGTTCCAGGACCCTGCAGATTCCAAAATCCTAAGAAGTTCATGCCCTTTATATTAAAAGGCAGCTGGTTGTATAAAGCTGCAGTCTCTCAGTGTGGAGGGGGAACATTATCTTCAGTCTTGTCAACTTCTCGTGTAAATTTGTCCATAACATTTCTTAGACATTATCAGCCCATTTTACAGGATAGAAATAACCAATTCACAGCTCTTTAGATGAATTGGGTGGTACACAGTGGATCTGACTGGTCATACACACTGACAGAAAGGTGTCAATGGCACACTAACAGCAAGAAGGTACAAGAGAACATCAAACATGTTCCATTTCTCAGCAAGTCGCGATCGATGACACACACGGAAACTGGGTTGCTTCAGTGTAGGTGGTGTGGACTTACGGGATAATGGGAGCAAATTATCCCCACTCCAGAGTGAGGTGCTCGTTTGCCTCGGCAGACAATTTCTATCTTTGTTTTGTGACCTGACTCACAAATACTAAAGATTATAGGAAAGTTGTGCAATGATATTACTATCTTCCAGGCAGCAATAGGAGAAAGATGGAAGAGGGTTTCTCTTCTTCCTGAGGCGATGGAGAAAAGCTTCATGAATTCCTTCGAAACTTGGAGACACAGAGCTGGCAATTGACTCAGGCTTAATAAGTTTCAAAATAAAGCCTGAGATGAAAGCCACCCATTAAGTGACCAAACAAAAAGGGGTGATGTCTTTTGGGAGGCAAGTATATTGTTACAGAAGATGGGTCCAAGGTTAAAAAACAACAACAGCAAAAACATAAAAAATAACTTTAGGAGCAATTTGTGCTCTGTCTGAGAGAATCAGCTGTGCCTATTGTCTAATGCTTTCCAAGAGGAACAGAAGTCTTCTTAGCAGGTCAATAATAGCAGAATCTATATTGCCTCATGTTGCCCAGTTTTGAAGAATGAAAATTAAGACAAAAACGCATAGCATGTAAATGAATAGTCATGTGCCTTTCCAAGGTGTTAATTCAAGATAGTGTTTCAAAAATGTCCAAAAAGTTACCATGCGCAAGTCAGTTTGATAACCCTCCAAAAGTCTTGTTGATGCTTATATAGCTTCCCTGAACCCTTAACTCCCTTTTGCTATTCCAGGCCTGAAGGAATGGAAATAATAATTGTGAATTAGGAAATGTGTGGTTATGAAAGACAGAAGGCAAACACATTCCATTCACATACAGCCTTTCCTATGGGCGGGGTTAGCTTTGAGTGAAGCATGAATATGTTATCACAGTGCTAGAAAGCCGCTTTTATTTTATTTTGAGACAGCTTTTCACTGTGTGGCTATCCTGTAGCTGGATGTATAGACCAGATCAGGCATAGAAGTTACAGACAGCCACCTGTCTCGTCCTCCAAGTGCTCAGATTAAAGATGTACACAACCCGCCCTGACCAGCTACTTCCTTTTTTAAACAAGACTATGTTGGGAATGATGGTGACTTCAGATGAATTCTTATTTCAAAGGAACAGGAAGCACGTTATGTCTTTGATCTGGTTGCAACAAAACCAGGAACTAAACAGTGGTTGGTTTTCAGGGTCAGTTATATAAGTTTTCTGCTTCTTTCTCAGTATTCCTCATTTACTATTTGCTTACCAAAGAAAGCTAGATGAATCACTGGAGACAAGGAGGCAAAAGAACATGGCTTAAAAGGCAATTAGAACAAGATCAAGACATAAGGGCACCCAGGTTTACACAGTTCCGTCTCCTATAGCTAGTGATTTCTAATGCAGCTAGCTCTGGATCTCAGTAATCCTCCTTATTTCACAGGAAATCATTTTGAGACACGTGGTTCCATCAGAAATGACGGGAGAGAAGAACTGACTGAACTGAAATATTGGCCTTTCACATTATTGCTCCCCTTCTGTTGGGGCCAGACTTATTTCTCACGTAAAACTGAACACGTCAGCAAACAATTACGAATGAGTTTGTTGGGGGCAATCATTGTTTTCAAATAATAACTAGGATTCAGAATCTGATACTGAGAGCCCGGCTGTTGGCTGTGTTATTAAGCACAGGGCTGTTGTGACTTCTGTAGTGACATTCCTTCTCCATCAGATGCTCTCAGCACACCAGTGCAACTGCCCTCCTCAGCTTTAGAGAGAACTACATTAAGGCATTAATGTCGGCATAATTTACACGCGGCAGAGCGTCTGTGATCAGAGCATTAATTTATTAGCTCTCTATATCCTAAATACTGATATAACAGCAGGGAAGAAGAGACTTGCCATTGTCGCCTGTATAGCATTAAGACATAGCTAACATATAAGAGGAAAAGTGGAGGGGGTCTGGGAAGCCCAACACGGATATCTCAGTTCACCCAGTCAGCTGTGACATGTTTGCAATAAGGGAAACAAAACAGCCCTATTCGTAAGAAAGAGCCTATTCTAGAAACTTCCACTTCTGTCTGTCTATCTATCTATCTATCTATCTATCTATCTATCTATCTATCTGTCTGTCTGTCTGTCTGTCTGTCTGTCTGTCTGTCTATCTGTCTGTCTATCTACCACCTCTCCGTCTGTCTGTGTGTGCGCGCACATATGTGTGGGTATATAAATGAAGAAGTAAGAAAGAGGACAATCTGCAGGACCAGTTCTCTCCTTCCGCCCTGTGATTTCCGAGGATTGAACCCTTCATTCTTGGAAACTTGCACCTTTACCTGCTGTGCCTTCTCACTGGTGAAAGTTCACCATTCTTTCCCAGTACCAAAGTGTTAAGAGACAACCTTTATGAATTTTTAATATAAATGCAATATATTGGATGGTAGCTTTGATTTCCTCATAAATTTAAAGTGTTTTTTTTTTTTTTTTTTTTTTTGTCTGAGACTGGAGGTAAGGATAGACTGATTGGTCAGGTCTGCCTCCCCGTTTTGTGTGGATTCTGGGGCTCAAACATGGGTTTGAAGGCAAACGCTTCACCAACGGAGCCATCTTGCTAGTCTTCTTCCTAGCATGCTGCCTGCATCAGTTCCTGGAGATTACCGTAGCGGAGCTGTACAAACTGCAGGGCTTCAGAAGCTGAAAAACCTATTGTCTCGTTGTTTCAGAGCCTCATAGTCTGCTCTCAAGGTACAACCAGGATGGTTTCTTCTGACCAAGAGATAATGTTTGCCCACGTTCTTGATGACAATCTGGCAATATTTGGTGCTCTTTGGCTCCAAAAATATAGCCACTATCTCTGCTCTAGTTTCTCAGAACATCCATCTGTGGGCTGTGCTCAAGTACTTCCTCTGTACAAGCAATTCATTCATGTTTACTTAAAACTACATGGATTAAAATAAACTTAACTGGCTACATCTAATTACTGCATTTCCAAATTAAACTAACATTTGGGGGAGCTGGCATTTCAATATATAAATTTGGAAGGGGCAAAGGTCAACCTGTAATGCTAAACCCTGACAGCTAAGGATTATCAGATCCAGAATGCATGGATGGCAGGTACTACTTCTCACTTCTTTATTTTCTGCATTTCCTCTTTCATTGCCTGTTAATAACACACAGTTTAAAATCATACTTTCCATAAAATTAATAACCAAAGAGCACTATTCGTCCATAGTTTCTGCCATCTTCAAGTATTCTACTTCAAAACAATGATATCTATTTGTTTGGAATTGTTTCTTAAGGTATTTATTTCCATTTTATCAACATTATACCATATTTGCCTTATTCTTACATCATTTAACTGTTTATCCATATATGCCCCTGGAAGGTGTGAATGAGAATGCTTAGACCAGGAAATTCTCTATTTTCAACAATTCTGCATAATTTTCTCTAAAATCTGATTAAATCAATAGTATAAAATTTATGACCATATAAATATTTTTATGGCTGAGCTGAGTTGTGAATTATGAGAGCAATTTCTTTCTTATATAACATTTTTTCCAGGAGTTAATAATTCCTTCCCATCAAAAACATACTTTATTTTTTTGAAGTAGTTTTAAGTTCAGAGAAAAATTGAGCTGAGAGTGTACTTCTCCCTTCTCGAATGCATAATCTCCTCCCCTCTGGGCCAGAATGTTAGATTTGTTGCAGTCTGTGTATCCACATTGAACGCTATTATCATGCAAAGTCCATATTTTTTCATTGCGTTCACTGTTGATCCACAGTCTCTGGCTCTAGAAAACGAGTGGTGACATGAAGCTGCCATTCCTGTTTCACAGTCATTTCCTTGCCTTGGGATTTCTCTGTGCCTCAAGCATTGTCCCTGTCACCTTGCTAACTGGTGGAAACTATGTTTGGTTTTATTTTTTGAAGAATTCTGCATCATTGAAATTACACTGTAGTTTTTCAGATTAGCTTCTTTCACTCGTTTAATTTCTTTTCTTCTTTTCATGACCTAGTAGCTGATTTCCTAATATTGAAGAGCATTTTATTTTCTGTGGAAATCGCAGTTATTTTTACCGATCCAATCCGCTGAAGGACTTCTTGACTGACTTAGAGTTTGGACAATTATGAATAAAGTTTTAT